CCCCCCCCCCCCCCCCCCCCCCATCAACACGTCCATTATCACACACAGACCTTGAGAACCACAGCGCTCAGCAGTAAGCACACAAACAGCGGTGTAGGGCGGCCGTGCCGTGAGTCAGCAAGCTCGTCTTTTGTCTTTGTGGCTCGTGACGGTTTGCCTGATTTAAAGGAAACTGAGAATAACAAGTGAAAGTATGTCAAAGGATTAACTTGAGTCCTTTCTGATAAACAATCGGCTGTGAACTTTAAACTCTGGGAGACACTCGGGACGCTGTCGGTGTGTCCTTCACGGAGGAGACTTTATCTATTTCACCTCTCGTCACACTGACCTCAAAACCTAACGATTAGAAGCTGAAAGAAAGTCCCTGAGTCATCCCGAGATGATCATAAAGAGGAGCCCGCTTGTGTTACAATTAAATTAAAGGGTTAGGATGTCAAATTGCCAAAAAACAAATGAATTCAAATGCCTTTAAAAATGACTTTTGTCCAATACCCTAATCAGTTATCAAAGCGTTTCTGTTGATTGATAAATCAATTAACAAGTAATCGCTGTCTTTGATACGACAACGTCCGCTCACGTCTCCGCCCTAAAGTTTGATGAGCTGGAGTTATTCCCTACGAATGGAAAAATAAATAGTTTTCTTTTCAGAGGCAGTCAAATACCAAAATTCACTTAAGTTTCAGAAAAGACTCGAATCAAAAGCAGAGTGGCTGTTGCTGCTTCGGTAATCTGCCCAAAGAAAAGAGCCGTTAACTATAATGTTCACTACAGATCGCTCGCAGACCCAGGAGTGTTTTTCACAGAGTGAAATGTATTTCTTATTTATTTGGTACTTTTCTTTAGTGGAGTTACGTGTAGGTGTTTGTGCTATTCAGTCTATAAAATCACAGAAAATAGTCAAAAAGGACAATCGCAATTTTCCGGAGCCCAAGGTGACGCCTTCAAATCTCTTTTTGTACAATCAGCAACTTTAAAACCCAAAGATAGTAACTTTATTGTTAAAACCCAAAGATAGTA